GTGTGCACCTGCCCAATACCCACAGCCTCTACCTGCCCGTGTGCACCTGCCCAATAAGCACAGCCGCTCCCTGCCTTCCCAATAAAAAGGAAACAGGCCAGGCTAGCCTGTCATTGGCAAAGTGAAACTACTGCCCTTGGTCCTTTCTCCCATTTCACACGATGCCTTCTAGCAATTTCACTTTCCTTTCTTATAATCAGAACAGGAAAAGATCTGTCCCTTGGTCAGCTATACTTGCTGAGTGGAATTCAAGTATCAGCAAAAGGCAGAGGGATGTTTGAGGCAAGGAGGGTCCCGAAGTCACACTAGCCCAGGGGTCCTCAACTGGGGCCATTCCACTGCCCCCCCAGGAGACACTTGGTAATGTCCAGAGATATGGCCATGACTGGGGGTGGACGCAGGGTGTTCCTCTGGTATCTGTGGGTAGAGGCCACGGAGGGGGGGCGGCTGAAGCCCCACCATGTCCCGGGCAGCCCCCGCCACAAAGAGTTACTGGGCCAGCATGTCAGTAAAAGTAGACTCTCCCGGGTGGCTCGCACACAGCCTTCTCCCGCCATTCCCAGAAGGCCCACCCTGGGCCCTGAGATGCACTACACACACAGGCAAAAGCATGTACTCCGAAAACTGGAACAAACGATTCCCCCAAAACATCAACTACCACACACCAGCACTTCCTTCCTTGCTACCCCGTGCTATTTCTCTAAACAACAAAGCACGCTGGTCCAACATACACCATGACATTAATAAGCCACATTTTATGGGTCTAATTAATAACAAGGATGAGGAAACAGCAATCCAGAGAGCACTCAGCACCCACCTTTTGGCCGGGCACGCCCGGGTTGCCAGGTAAGCCGTTAAATCCCGGGCGACCTGGACTCCCAGGAGGTCCCACATCTCCAGGTAAGCCATCAACACCTGTTAGGAAGAGCCACAAAATCACCAACGTGCCAAAGCTATTCCCCTCTTCCCTCGCTTCCCTCACACTCGCTCAGACGTCCCTGGACTGAACTGAACTGAACTGGCCAACAAAGAGCCCTTCGAGGTGGTTCTAAGAAGAGCGTGAGGCCTCGGTCGCCATCGGGGGAACCACTGGTGCCCGCTGGGGCAGCTTGGGTGCCCTGGACCGCATGCAGTGCCTGCCGCCCTCCCTGTCTCTCCCCCACCATCCCCTCTCGCCTTCCTTCCGCTCAGTTCTTCCTCCTGCCCCACCCCCCAAACAAAACAAAGACCACTGTGACACGTGCAGCCTAGGGTGGCCCTCCCACTCTGCAGCTCCGAGCATGCCGCCCGTTCGGAGCCCACCCAGACCCACTGGAGCAGACCCGCATTTTCACAAGACACCCTGGGAGTCCCGGATGCTCCAGTGTGAGCAGCGCCGCTGCAGACCATGGGTCCTCGAATGCAGCTACACCACACCAGAGGCGCGTGGGGCATTTAGAGACTGGGCCCCAACCCTAGAAGGCCCGATGGGCTAACAGCTGCCCCATGGCTCTACTGTGCATGAAGGTCCCCCTGTGGGATGCAGAGGTCCACGACGTGCGGTGATCTATAAGCATGCAGAGGTCACACGTGCTGTGGTACCGAGGGGTCTCATCAGAGAGTGGACCTAACCGCCCACCAGTGTGCACATCACCAAGCCTCTTTGTGGGAGTGGGCAGCCAGCCTCCAATGAGGAGACCTTACCAGCTAACTTCTACCTTTCAGGATGGCGCTATGGTGCTCACAGGGGAGAGGGTGTGGCTCGGGAACAGGCAGAAGGCCTCAGCACTGTCCCTGTGAACTGGGAGGGTCTCTGAGGGCCTTCTGCCCTCTAGGCCAGAGAGACGTGGCCACGCGCGTGTGTGGGTGTGATGCAGTGCCTGGAGGGGTGTGCAGGCCTGTGACTCTGTCAGCAGGTGCAACACAGGCTGAGCCTCTGGACAGGAAGGTGGGAGCCTCGAGAGCTCTTCCCACTAGGTTTGCACACACGGCCAAGAAAACTGGGGTCAGGACGGCGGCCCAAGCAGGAAAGAGATGCCCCTTATTGCACACAGCGCCTGCTCAGTCCTGGACCGAGGTCCACGTCGGCAAGTCTACGTCAGGGCCCACCCGCAGGAAGACAGACCCACGAGAGCAACAGAAACAGTCAAACTGTCCTCCTGACCGCCTTACTGTTTCCAGAAAGAGGTTCTGGTTCTGACATGTCAGCGCCCCGTGCAGACCCAGGCTCTGGGTGTGGGGGCCTTCCCCCCTGAGAGCAAAGCCCCCTCCCTCGTTCCCCAGGTCCCTTCCCGCTGACCCACACCCAGCCTGGCGTGGGGCCCGGCTGCTCTGCGCATCCCCTGCGCTGATGAGGAGAACACCCTGAAATGCAGCTTCTCCCAGTTCCCTGGGCAGCTGCCGGGTCCTGACACCTCAACCCCTCCCGGCCAACCCACTGCCTCGGTGACCGCACTCACTGTCCTGCAGACTTCCGCAAGCTCCCCCGAAGGGCAAGTCACCAACTCAAATAGTGTGTCTACATGCACTGCCTCCTCTCGCCTAGGATTCATAGGAATGAACAGAACGGCCACGGCCCTCAGTGCCCACCAGCTGGGGAACGGATGCGATGGCAGGGGCCCAAATGGGCCGTGGGCAGAGCAATGGCCCCACTCAGGGGGCTGGCTTGTCCTGCAGGTTTACCTTTGGGGCCAGGAGGCCCTGGAAATCCAATTCCGGGCTGGCCGACAGTGCCCTTCTCTCCCGGGAGGCCTGGCCTTCCTGGGGTTCCAGGAAAACCTCGGTCACCTGTTATGAGCAAGACCAACAGTCAGTGAGAGAAAAACCTGTCATTGTTCCAAGCGTAACTCCAGGCAAACGAGAGCGTTAAAAGTACCTTGTGGCCCTGGGAAGCCTGGGGATCCCGGAAGTCCTTGTGCTCCAGGGGGACCAGGTAGAGGCACAACTTTTCCTGCTTCACCCTTGGGACCTAGGGGAAGAGCAAAGACATGGTATGAGAGCCCACGTCCCATCCTGAGCGAGGACGCAGCAAGCGAGCCCATGTCCTACCTACACTCTGCCTACCTACAGAGCAGCCCCACCTGCATACCTCCACTTCCTACCTCTACTTTTCTAGAATCTTTCACAGAGAGCTCTTCCTTTTTTCCCCAAAATTTATAGCCAAAAGGACCCAGATGTTTGACACACGAATTCCCTAAGAGTCCAAAATAAGAGTCACAAAAAGCTAGAAAATCTATAACAACAAGAGGTGAGGGGCGCCTGGGTGGCTCAGTCGGTTAAGTGACTGCCTTCGGCTCAGGTCATGATCCTGGAGTCCCGGGATCGAGTCCCGCATCGGGCTCCCTGCTCGGCGGGGAGTCTGCTTCTCCCTCTGACCTTCTTCCCTCTCGTGCTCTCTCTCTACCATTCTCTCTCTCTCAACAAATAAATAAAAATCTTTAAAAAAAAAAAAAAAAAAGAGGTGAGATGACCCTGAGTAATTTCTTAATTAGCCCATCTGGAAAAGTCAAAACACTTTTAGCGTTCTCCCTCAGTTTACTAGACAGTACCAATTCTACATTGCTTTGAGGCAGCGCTAAATTACATTCATCTGGTGGGACGTGCTAAGTGGGTGATCAGCACAATCCATAAGCGTGTAGCTGGACGGCCGTGTGCCCTCTGGAGCAGCCCGGGCCCAAGATGCAGCCCAGCCCCGGGCACTCATGCCTGGGAGACCCCCTGGGGGTCAGGATTTAGCTACAAGGACAAGACCAAAGGGGTCACCTCCAAGACGTGCGCACGGACTCTTCACACACCCTACACGAATGCAAGACATATGGGGCCTCCCAGGAACGGCCAACACATTCTTTCACTGCAGACTCTGAGAAATGCCAAGCGACCGACCCCAACACATACTTGCTATCAGTTCCACCCTGGGAACAAGCCTTTAATGTCACCAGAGTAAACACGGCTTTGGCAGATCAAAGAAGCCTGCGTTTCTAATCCAGAAGCTGCCCGGGTCTGGATGGCCAAGCAAGTCTACAGAATGCAGACAGCTGACCAACAGCACTGTCAACACCTCCTTCAGAAACTTCTTCCTTCCCTTCCTGCTAGGATGCATCTGTGTGTGCCCCAGTTGGTCCTTCTGATGGTACTTTCTGGCCAAGAAGCGCCTAATTCCTTTTTACGGTTCTGTGAATTTTCAGATCCAAAGAGCACTTGAGATGCTGATTTTGGAGTCAGGAGCTATGGGGGAAGAGACCAGAGGTCCCTTTTCCAAGATGCGGGGGGGGAGGGGGGTCTTCCTAGGTCAAACCCAGTATTTCTCTGCCCCCAAAAGGGTCACCAAAGAAACATTTCTGGGATCCTTGCTAAACCACAAACAGTAATCAAGGGAGTCATTAACTGGGTGCTAGGTAATCATGAGCCATACAGCCAACGAGAATGACAGTAAGAAATACAGTAGGGAGTGATGCTTGCACTTCCAACAAAGACAGGCTAACGTGCCCTGTGCAGGAGAGCTTATGAATTTGACACTATCATGTAATAAGCAAGTAACAGCTCCCGGTGGGATAAGAACTGAGAAAACCTGGGCTGGATATACGGCCTGCGACAGGACCTGCGTATCAGTGAGCACGAAGGCCATGCAGTCGCCACCCCCTTATCAACGGTCCCACTGTGCGGGTCTCAGTTTCCCTGCAGTCAACCGCGGCGTGGCTCAGGAGGTCCACGGTGACTGGACGCTGCCTATGTGCCCGTGCCATTCACCTCACGTCACCTCACCACGGAGGCACTCTGTCACGTCCCCTCGTCACAAGAAGTGGGGTGGGCACAGGACGAGAAGGTATATTGAGAGGGAGTCACACATCCACACGAAGTTCATTACACTGTGTGGTTATAAGCGCTCTATTTTGCTCCTGGTTGTTCTTGGTAATCTCTTCCCGGGCCTCATTTACATATTAAACTTTGTCACAGGTCTGTATGCACAGGAGAAACCTAGCGTATGCGGGGTTTGGTACTGTCCTGGCTGCAGGCTTCCACGGGGGTCCTGGAACGTGTCCCCCCAAGTATGACATCTAATTCCTCCCTAGCTTGGTCACGCAGCTACTTCCTATGTGGTTCCAGCTTTACCAGTCACACAACTGTAATCATCCGAAGGCCTTCTGTTCATTTTTAGGACTCCTAGGACATTTCTGAGTCCTGCACTCTTCCCTCCCCCCTCAGTGCCCAAGCCCTTCCTGGCCTCTGCTCTTGCAGCCCGGGCTGGGGGTGGGGAGGGGGGCTAGGGAATGGCGGGAGTGATTGGTTTCTAGCCTGAAGCATATCCCACGACCTGTGCCTGGGAGCCTGCCGTGTCCCAGGCCAGAGGCCACCCCATGACCACTTCCATCCCCGATAACACGCAGGGCGTGAGGGGGGAGTGAGCGTGTCCATGGGAAAGCCTCGTGTCAGCCTCGCACCACGTGCTCCACCAAACCCCCAGCAGTGCGCACCAGGAGGGCAAGGCCACGCCTGTCTGGCCGCTGCCCCCCGCCACTGAGCACGCAGGCCCGAGAGAGACACGGTGCACAAGTGACTGAAGCCAGCCCCGCACTGAACAGCAACAGTGAGGCAAAGACCACCTGGAACCAGCCCATAGGCACCTGCCCATCCGTGGAGAGGTGAGACTACCCGGCTTGGAGCATACAGAAGCCCACGTGGACTGTTCACCAGGGAGACACAGAAAAATAGGTAAAGAGGAAAAAAAAACAAGCTCACGTTGGTATCCCTTCCACAGAAAAGGCCCACTTGAACTGGAAGGCACTGTATCCTCATGAGAAGAAAAAGCACCTATCAATCCAGATGCTTTCCAGCCAGATTCTACGCGTCACCGGGCCCTTCTCACACATGAGGCCACAAGGCACAGTATACCTACAAGAGGGCCCGGGCCAGGCCACCTCCAGGAAGAATGGGCACCAGACTCCTGTCCCCACGTCGTGGAGCCCAGTGCTCTGTGCACCCGAGGTCCTCGGGCCTCACCTGGCTGGCCTGGGGATCCAGGGGTCCCCGGAAAACCCGCTTGTCCTTTGTCACCAACAGGGCCAATAGGGCCAAACCCTGGAGGCCCAGGAGGGCCGATGTCACCTCGACTGCCAGGGAATCCAACTCCCCCGGGGGGTCCACGCTCTCCTTTCAATCCTACTGAACCCTGACATGCAAAGAGAAAAGAAACATTATCGGCAGATATACCAACATGTGTTCATCTCACATCCCTCCACCATCTGTAGTAAATAAGTATCAGAATTTAACTGGCTGATGCTATATATTGACTTCCCCCTCTACAAAGGTCAACTGGCAGTTAATAAATGACACAGCATTCCTGTCTACGCTGGGCGGCACCCTCCCTCCCCACACAAGGACACCCTTCAGAGAGTGAAGTATTTGTATCTGGAACTGTCTTTTCAAGGATAACTTGCAGGCCACTAACTCTAAACTTCACCTCCCAGCTGACATGTGAACATCCAACATATGGGCGCCAGAAGATATCCACGCACTGTCCCCCACTGTTCCCATCAACAGCATCAACGCCTACGTTTGCAGACTTAAGTCTCCCCACGGACCACCGAACATCACATGTAACCATCACCACCCAAATGAAAATATGTAGCTACGATGCAAATAATTCATTTCTTCATTCTTTGCAGATCCGATAAAGTGGGCGTTCCAAGTCTGGAAATAAACATACCGGGGAGCCTTTGGGGCCGGGCAGACCCGGATGGCCATCTCTCCCAGGAGACCCTGCTCTGCCTGGCATCCCAGGCTGTCCTGGAAAGCCTGGGTCTCCTTTGTCTCCTTTGAGCCGTGCGTCGAAGTAAATCTCTCCAGGCTCTCCCTTGGCTCCCGGCTGGCCCATCAGCCCCGGTGTGCCTTGCGGGCCCTAGAAGCACAAAGTGGAAGACATCAGCGCACAAAATGAGCCAGCAGGATTGTTACACAGCCAACAATGATATTAAGAAGTCACCTCCTTGAAAAACGGCAGTACGTTCAATCTTATTTATTTTCTAGAAGCAAGCCAATAGCTCTGTGACAAAGCCATGACCTGACCTCTCACTTCTTGTGTTTCTCTTAAAATACCCGAAAAAAAAAAGCCTTCACTGGGTATTGCAAACAGAGACCAGGCTAGGGTGGGGGGGAATGAGTGTGGCACCAGGCACCCAGCTTGGAGGACAGTCCCCAGAGAACCTGCTTGTCCCTTCCAACTGTTAACGTTCACAAGAACATTCTAGCAAGTGCTGGAAGCTGCTGAATGTGTGACTTCTGGGGCCCAGGAACTAGAGAAAGGGCTTCCAGGTGCAGACGCGTGAAGTGTCTGAGGGCAGGACGGCAACAGCAAGCGGAGAGTCTGGGGAGCAAGCGCTGGCCAGCTCCATCACCACTGTTCTGAGCAGTCAGCAAAAGAGAACGGACTTTCCCAGGAGACACACCCTAGCACATTTTCCAGTTCCTGGAAAGTTAAATTTTCAAGGAACGCCCACACCCACAGATGGTCTCTCCTCCAGCCTCTCTGAGAATTGGGGTTCACAAGGATTTCAAATACTTGTCTCAAGTACTCATTCCCTTAGGCCTGAGAAAGAAATCGCTCAGCCTCCCTGCTGACTTGGAAGGATTATACTCTTGGACAATTCACTTAATTTGAATTCCTTCTCCCACACTCCCTCTGAAACAGCCCTTGGATGTATGTGAGTCACATGTGCCCACACACTTCTGTGTAGGTGTGTAACACAGAGCGAGGAGCTAGAAGACAAGGGACAGACCTAAATTCACACGATCTTTAGATTTTAGCGTGGGGACCGTTTATTATGTGCCCACCGTGCGTCACGGCCCTCGGCACACCACTCTGGACTCAGAACCCAGCTGCGCCGGCAAACTCCCAAAAGAATCACCCAGCTTGTGAGGGAGCGGACCCTCCAAGAACCTTGGTGGGGGGTCGCGGAAAAGTCATTATTTAGTTCAAAGGTGTTGTGGTATCTTGTAGCTTTCTCTCTCGAGGTAACATAGCTCCTGTGCATCCTTAAATCCCAGCTAAGCTGCGACTCCTCCGTGAAGCCCTCCCTGACACATGTCCTGGGTTTCCACGGTGGAGCAAACGGTCCTCATTACAGAAACTCTCCTCCTTGCACATCCTTTTCTCCTCCGGTCTTTGGGGGTGTTGAGGGCTGGCCTAAGGCTTTCTAACTTTGTGACCTGAACGTCTGCAGCTAGGGAGGCATTGCAGGAAGGAGAAGTTGAACGGGCAATATTCACCCATAAAAAATAAACCCCAATGTAAGAAATTACCACCAGTGTGGATTTTTTTCAACCTGGAAGGATCAGTGTTACTTTACGGTGATTATTCACAGACTAGAAATACAGTTTCCAGGATGGTGAGCACACAGTGAGGGAACACCACTTTTTATCTTGATAATGGTGACCTTGCCAGCTATCATTCAAGGAAGAAATCTAGATTTTTTTTTGAAAGGTGACATCTTGACCCTAGGACACCTCCTGTGGCTTCTCTGCCACAGAACGTCCTAATCTTCAGCGATTCAAAGGTCTTTGGATCCACATCTCTTGACATAAACGAGGAGGAATCAAACGCTGCCTTGAACACCTCGCCTTGGCTCCATAAATTGGAGGAGATCCAACGACTATATGGTCTGCTTCTAATAAGCGCAGCCACCGCGGGGTGTCACAGCTCCTTTCAACTGACCGTCCCGATGGCCCCGAAACCCACCCAGGTCCCTGCATGGAGCCAGCCTCTTGTGCCTGTCCCTCTTTCCCAAAATCCAACCCTCGGCCTTCAAAAGGACATGGCACAGAAACGCTATCTAAATCAAACAGGAAATCAGAGCATTTCAACTCTTTTCATCCTCATCTACTTTCCAGGATGCTCCGGGGTTCACGGGCACCTCATGCAGCCCCAGCCTCATTCGAAATGAGAGAGCCCCACCTGTGAGCCAGTTAAACTGCGGAGCTACGGGACAGCCTCAAATATAAGAGAAATTACTACCTGCTCAATTAAATTATTTACCCAGAAAACCATTTCTACAAACTTGGCCATCTGCAGAGAGAAAGGAGCTCCGGATGGGGAAGGCAGGGGATTAGACATTTTGCCGTGCACTGGCTTTATTCTCCTCTTCATCAGGACTTGTCCTCGACTGTTCTTCTCCCTCCCTCCTCTTTCCCCTTTTTATTAGATTTGGGGCTGGGGGCCGGTGTCTGGATGGGGTTTCAGGCAGAGTCGAGGCAGGAAGTTTCCAGGAAGGCCAAGTAGACAGACCATGTCCAGAGGTTAAAAGCATCCTCTACTGCTTCTTCAAAGCGCTTCTGGCTTTGATCCCCACCAGAGTCAGGGCTTCTCAGTTATGTGAACTTCTCATTTATTTAGAAATATTTTAAATAATTGCGACTTGTAACTTAGCTCCCCAGGCACCAGGGAAGTTCTGGAAGCAGAATCCCGAGATCTGACTTCAAAGGAGGAAGCGATTGCTCAATCCCAGCTGCTTCGGTGCCATTTCAACTCACTTCTGCCCTGACCCGCTTTTATAGAAGCTGCCAGTAATATTTTTAAACATCGCAAATGTTAAAGAGCTACATCAAAAAGGAATAAAACGCTAAAGATTTGATTTTCATCGTGTGACAGAAGAAAAAAGCAAAGGGGAAAGCAGTAATGAAAGAAAGTGTGGAAAGTGGCTGACGCTTACAGAGCTCAGAAGAACAAAGAAAATACGAGAACCAGGCCCAGAGGTTTATGCGCTTTAGAAACAGAGCTGATTACGTGCAATAAAATGCCCTTCAATGCTCGGGATTACAACTATTCTCTTCTATTCAATGGCTTCTTTTTTAAACAAACTAGGAAAACTGGGGAGCTGATTTTCATTTAACTGTAAGGTTTCACGTCGATCCGAGATTACTTCATTTATAAATTTAGAAAAGCATCTTCACAATAGATATTGGTGGATAGGAATTTTCAAAACACATCTCTGTGAGAGAAGAGTAAACAAATGTGGAATTCCTCGAAGGTGACAGGCCGGTGATCCTCTGTCTCCACAGGGATACTGGCTCTGAACTTACTACCATGTTTTTAAGTTACGGATGTAACTGCTTGCAGATGGCTCCTGGTGGTACCATCTGTTTCAAGAGCCCCCCGAGACCCTGTGGGAAGGTGACACACAGCATCCGGCTGCACCTGGACACAGGCACGTGGCACCTGAATTCCGACCAGGTGAGGAGAGGGGCAGGGGAGATGCGGATTCTGGACTCAACAGTCCTGCTCATCATTGGGCGAAGGACAAGAGGAGCAATTCTCGACTGCTCAACAAAGCCACACTTGACCAGCGCCCAAATCATACAGCAAAAGCTGTGTTTGCAAACGTGACAACAGACACCTTTGTTAGCTGGCTTGGAGACAACGTCTAATTAAAGTACACAAACTCAGACAGGTTTACTCACAGGCAATCCCTCCAGACCATCTCTGCCAGGTAAGCCTCTGTCGCCCTTCGCCCCTGGCTGTCCTGGGAAACCTTTCAGAAGACAAGGGAGATGCAGCACATTACTGCCAAGACACTTCCTCAAAACCCCAAACCTTCGGTTCTCCAGATTCAAGAGCACAGATATCTTGACACAAGTGGACATTGTCTGAAGAATCTCCACAGAGTAGTAACAGGAATGGTCACACTGGGCTCCAGAAGGGAAGCAGTGACCCCAAATTCAGTTAAGGACCACTGAAGCAGCTGGGGACAAGAGCCCCCCCAACCCCAAGCCCCAGGACCACTTCCGCCAGAAACAGGCCCTTCACTTCGGTTGAGGGAACAAAGGTTGTGGAGCTGAGGGAACCGTATGCTGTTGATCTTGCACTGGGAAATTGTTATGGTCCCAAATTTTAGGTCAGCTTGATGATTTTCCACAGAGTGGACAAACCCCGGAAGTCTGACTTAAAATCTCATTATCAGGCTTTGCTTTGAATGCAGAAACCGAGGTCTCTCATGGCACGAGATGCGTTTCACTGTGAAGGCTCCAACCTACGGAAGCAAATTCGGGCCTGGTCCCGTTCACGTCTGGGGTCTTACCTATTTCTCCCGGGGGGCCCTGCGGCCCAGGGGGCCCACGAAGTCCTTCTGTGTCACAGATGAGGCAGCTGTCTCCTTTCTGACCTACAAAGGGAACACAGGGGTACGTATGCACACGTGAACTACTCCCACACGCTCCACTCTGGCAGAACCCAATGCTGGGAACAGACACAGGACCCACGCAGAGAGCCTGAGTCCCTAAAGTGCGGGCGAGGCACAACAGGAGCCCACCCATGGGACGGGGACAGTGCAAGTTGGCTGGCGGCCAGCTGAGTTCTGGGCCCCACGGGATTCGCTTGTGGGGAGATGCACCGCCAACCGAGGGCTGGGCGGGCTGGTGGTGCTACAGCAGGAGGATGGAGGTCTCAGCACAGGGAAGCTCCTGACCCCATGTCATAACGTGGAACAGCCCAGCTCAGGAAGTACTAAGCAGCTGGTAACTAGAGAGAGTCACTGACACTGAGTGCTCCCTGGCACTCCCGGATAACTTCTAAGACCGCGTCCGTCGGAACCTCCGAAATTTAAAATTCTAAGGTGTGAGCTGCAACTGTTTTCATGCAGCATTTGTGCTGTAGACTTTGGAAGAGGAAGAATTTTTGCAATCCAAAGCCAGCCATGGTGCCCAACGGGGTTGGTTTTGGGGGCAGCCTCCTAGTGGCTCTACTCTCCAGCTGTTAAGAGACACATCAACATCGGACTGTCCAAGGGGTAGGACACGCTCAGACAGGACTGTGGACGCGATGAGAACCCACTGTGGGCACAACAGTGAAGAGAGGACCATGTGTCCCGGGCTGCGGTTCCAGCAGATGCTGGAGATCAGTAACGATAATGCTGGGGGGGGGGGCAGTCCCAGGGCAGCTGATGTGCTCACATGGATTGTGGGAACAGGGCCTGGAGGGGTGGTGAGCGTTGCAGGCACACGACGGTGACTCGGCTCAGAAGAAAGACATCTGCTCTGTGAGAAGGGCACTCTCAAACTATGAACCGGAAGACCACGCTAAGGTATCAGTCTAAGGGTTTAATCTGCTGACCATGTAGACGGTGTCAGGGCCACGGCCCCCTGCTGCCTCCCAGGTGGCATCTCACGCTCTCTCCCCCCAGCCCCCCCCGGAAGCCCCAC